AGTCCCACTTTGTTTATTTCATGTATCATTGAAAAAGAACACATGCGTGTTTGAAAATTCTGACTTTAAAATCTTTCTCTTCATGCTTCAATTGAGTCAAAAGGTTAATATATAATAAATATCAATATGGATGTCCAAGATAGCACCAAATCTGTTCAGAAATATCTAAACTGTCAGCTGCATAAAACTGCTTTCTCAGATCAATGGTTAAAAATGGTTTCATTTAAGCATTCCATACTATATCCCAAACAAATCAACTAACAGAAGACAGTAAATCCTGCTTTTCTTCCCAAGGCCAATGCACTAATAATGAGAGTGGGGGCTGGGGATATGCTGATGATAAAGGTATTCATAGCTGGGATAAGAATGATCTCAAACAAAAATCAACATCTTCCACCAAGAATTCCAAGAAATAGATCTCAAGATAAACCTAAACTGCACTTAGATGTAATTTAGCGAAAAACTCAAGTCATGTATTTAAATAGCCTCATCAGATCAAGACTTTCATATGGATGTCCTAGATCACGCCAAATCTATTCAGAAATATCTAAACTGCCAGTTTCATACAACTGCTTTCTCAGATCAATGGTTAAAAATGGTTTCATTTAAGTATTCCATACTAGATCTAAAACAAATCAACTAATAGAATACAGTAAATCTTAAAGCAAGTTAAAAATGATTTCAAGTGAATGATTCCTGTGGGTCTCAACAAAGACCATTCTTCAAACATTGTGGACTGGTGCTACAAAATCATAAAGAACTATGCCAAATAACAGAAACTACATCACTTGAGGACTTTCAATAGTAGCAACAATTAAAATGGATATCACTTGTAACTCAAAGAGAAAATTATGACTTAATGAAGATGTTGATGTGTTTGCTTTTTAGGATATGTAGATTTAATAGGCTGATTAATAAAATTTGAAGAATAAAAAAAACAAACAGAATGATACCAATATTGGCAATAAAATTGATATTTATTATATATTAATCTTTTGACTGGATTGGAGCACAAAGAGAAACATTTTAATGTCTGAATTTTTTACCACGCCTGTGTTCTTTCTCAATGATATCAGGAATAAACAAAGAAGTGGAAATTACTCATCTGAGTAATGTTGTTGTTGGGTCATGGTTTCCCTGTGGAAATTATACTCTCTGAGTAAACCCAAATTCCTGTTTTATCCCTCAATGCGTAAAATTATTTTGAAAATAATTTTCAACTTCAATCTGCATCTTTTTTGTCAGCTATTGAATGAAGATGCTAAAATCATGCATCTAATGTCATCAATGCTATGAAATGGTTGATTGAAGTGTTCAGTAACAGAAAAAATTGTGGTGTTGTCCCTGATGGGCTTTTTATGGTTACAGAACTGAAGATGTAATTCTGTTTCAATTTCTCCAAGAAAATTTCTTTTTTGCATTTATGGAAGAAGGAGCAAATATATAAGATTTGAACTGTCACAATTTGAATACTACTTGGGTGCCAGGGGGTGTGAAATTGTTTTTGTTTTAATTATATATATTATTAAGGCATATGTTGTTAAAGTCTATGGAACTTTTTCATTTAATAATCTTTTGTCTGTTTTTTGGGGGGTTTTTTTTGTTTTATTATCTATAAAACTAAAATAATAAGCAACCTGTTTCAAATCAAATCATACAGCCATGATGATGGTTAACAATAACTGAAAGCGCTTGACAAAACACCATGGATTAGGATCTTATTTCAATAACTTGTTAAAAAACTTGCAAGAACACATGGCACAGTGGATAAAGGCATTAGTTAGATCCAGTGACAGGATCAAAAGAGTGTGAGATCAATACCCAGTTAAAGCAGTGGAGAACTTGGAGAGGGGAATTAACAAGAGATAACTGATAACTGACATCTATTAAACATGGCACATGGAACTAGAACAGTCTAACCCAGTGACTGAATTAAAGGGTTCAGTTCGACATTCTAACCACCTAAAGAAGGCCAGAGCATACAATGGCTGAAATGTTGTAATAAATATAGCAACAAAGATGAGGACAACAGTCCAAATAATGTAAATTATTGTAATAGTTTAAACTATTTATTTTTATTAAGGTTTTTATGAAATATATATATCCAAGAACAGATAGTAAATAGTAGAACATTGCTGAGAGTTATAATGGGCAGGAAGTAGTGGAGAGCCATTGTCGCCAACAAATTGGACTCAAAATCAGCACTGAAGAATTATCTATCAAACAAAAATATTTCATCAAAATCAGATGAAAACTGTGGAAATGCATAAACTACATCTGATCACACACACACACACACACACACCATTTTGATTGTTGTGCAATGTACATTTTGTATGAGATCCCAAAACTTTGACATGTGTCCTGTTAACGTGAGAGTAAAAAAAGATAGATATATATTTAGTTTAGGATAAGAGTCAAAAAGGTTCACATACATCCAGAAGAAGACATTGGTCTTTTTTTTTACACTAGAATCAAAAGGTAGATATAGGTCATGAAAGTCAAAAAGGTGGAAATAGGTCTTGATTATACTAGAGTCAAGAAAGTAGACATATGTCTGAATTACACTGGAGTCAGAAAGGTAAACATAGGTCTGGATTACATTAGAGTCAAAATGGTAAATATAGGTTTGGAATACACTAGAGTCAAAAAGGTAGACATAGGTCTGGATTGCACTAGTTTCAAAAGGCAGGCATGAGTCTGGATTACACTAAGGTTAAAATGGTAGACATAGGTCTGGTTTGCAATAGAATCAAAAAGTTTGATGAAAATTTACTTTGCACTAGATTCAAAGAGATAGACATAGATCTGGTTTACACTAGAATCAAATGGTACACATATATGCAGTTTGCAATAGAATCAAATTGGTTGATCTAGGTTCAGTTTATACTAGAATAAAAAAGGTAAACATTGATCTGATTTACATTAGATTCAAAAGGTAGACATAGGTTTGGTTTATACTTCAACTAGCAGCATGGCCCGGCGTTGCCCATGCTTGATTCAAAAATCGTACGACTCATACAGCAATCGCTATCACTTGACTTAAAATATTTTTGCCCTTCCTTGCCTTTAAAGGAGTGCCCTTTGCTGTGCTGATGTTGCTACATGCCTTACTTCTTGCCTATCTCATACTGCGAATTTTTTCGAAGCTCTATACTAAACATTAAATCTATTACGAAAAAAGAACTAAACAAAATGAACACAAAACAATCGGCTTTAAAAAAGGACACGTAACTGGAAAAACTGAATGAAAAAAAAATGTTAACAACAAATACTTTTTCACATCCAACCCAGTTCTGCGGAATCAGAATCAACGTTGAGTTTAAGCAAGCGAATGAGCCAATTGGAGTAAAGTGCCATGCAGATTTAAATTTTTCACACTTGTGACGAATGCAGCTATCGATATTTTTTTGCATGCTAGCATGCTAGTTAACATTCATGTCAGTCAGCTGTTGGCTCTCATGCTGGCCAATAGCATCTTCCTGCCTATTTGTGGGAGCCAGCTATTGGCTCTCACTCTGGCCAGGAGAAAATGGCCGCAAACTACATGAAAACTGCCGTAGAAGCATGAAAAAATTTATTATTTCCACTATCGATGGGAGTTGGGAAATGCAAAGTTGGTCTTGGCCTTCCGCTAACTTGGAGCATGTGCATGTAAATTTTGGTGCAAATCCGTCAAAAATTGCGGCCGTGCATTTGTTACACACACACACACACACATCTTGCCTTTTATAGATAGAGATTAAAATATTAGATATATATGCAGTTTGCATTAGTTAAAAAGATACAGATCTTCCTAAGAGACTTGTGTAAATGAATGGTAGAAAAGGGAAGGTGAAGGATAGAAAAAAAGACAAATATTGCTTAGAGCTAAAAAAATAGGAAGTTGTGGCAACCCATAATTGCCCATTTTCTGATGGAATAGAAGAAGAGTCTTGTCTTTAAAGCATTGACCACACTATTCTTCAATTCAGAACTGCAAGAGGATTTTATTTTGTCACAAAAATCAATGTTAATAAATCATTTCACATTATAATGAGTTGAACTTTTAAAGCCAATCTTTATAAAATACTACAAGAAATGGTGATCCAATGATCTGTTCACAGTTAGTATTTAAATGAATGTTAACATGTGCATGTTTCTATGCAGAATTATATGCGGTTTATGCAATACGCATTGATTCTGTTTTCTCAACTTGTCCTCTTTCGTTCTTCATCTGCCATATTTGATGACTCATATTTCTTGTTCATTCACTTATTCAGTCCACTTCACTGAATCATTCACACAAATCAAAGATGGCTGCAAATCAGATCCCAAATCAACTGTCTTCAAGTTGAATGCTCTAACTTCATTTCCCCCGTCTTCTCACACACATCAAATCAATACATTTGAACATTTTCTATCATTTTAGTAACACTATTGTTTAGTGTTCAGGTTACTTCTGATTTCATAGCCTTGACATTTTTTATACAATTTCTAATTGTTACACTCTAAAAAGAAGAAAAAAAAGGCAACTTTTTTTGTCTGTTTTTTTCTGCATTTAAAATTTTATCAATTTTCTTTTTTACATTATATCATTTTTTATTTGTTTGTCTCTCTTATAATTGCTTTCTCTCTCCTACTCTTTTTCAATTCTTTTTATTTGTCTTGTTTTTTTTTTCCATTCTTTGTTTCTTTCCCTTCTCACTTCATCTATGCACCATGTCCCTTCAAGAGTTTGGCAATCATGGTTCTTCACAATTTCCTGTCTTTTGTAGCTCTTAATAAATTTCGTCTTTCTATTTTCTCTCCAAAACTCTGTTCTTCCATCCATTTACCGAAGTTCAGTTGGTTATACATTGTTTTCGTCTTTCCTTCCTTATTTATTCTAAATATTGCTTTATTTTATTTTTATTTATTTTTTTGTCACTTTACTTATTTTCCCAATCTCTTTTCATCACTTGAGTCTTTTGTTTTACATTTACATGATTTCCTTTTATATTTTTCTTTTATTTTTCCAGTCTTTCTTGTTTTTTCTTTCTTTTATTAATTGGTCTATCTATCTATCTATCTATCTATCTTTCTCTCTTTCTCTCCAGCCTTTTTTAACTTTCTTTTTTCTTTCCTTCTTTCTTGACATTTTTCTCTTTTTCCTCTCTTTTTGTCTTCTACACTTTTTCTATCTTTTGTCCTCTTTTTCAGTCGTTCATGCTCTTTCTTTCTTTTTCCCTCTCTTTTAGTCTTTCACACTCTTTCTTTTTTCCTCTCTTTTAGTCTTTCACACTCTTTCTTTTTTCTTTATTTCAATCTTTTCCCACTCTTTCTTACATTTTACCTCTCTTTCAGACTTTCACTTTCTTTCTTTCTCTTTCCCCTCCTTTCAGTCTTTCACACTCTTTCTTTTTTCCTCACTTTTAGACTTTCACTTTCTTTTTTCCTCTCTTTTAGTCTTTCACACTCTTTCTTTCTTTATTTCCTCTCTTTCAGTCGTTCATGCTCTTTCCTCTTTCAATCTTTCACATGCTTTCTTTCTTTTTCCCCTCTTTTAGTCTTTCACTCTTTCTTTCATTTTTCCTCACTTTTAGTCTTTCACTCTTTCTTTTTTCCTCTCTTTTAATCTTTCACACTCTTTCTTTCCTTTTTCCTCTCTTTCAACCATTCACACTCTTTTTTAACTCATCTTTTAGTCTTTCTTTCCTATATTTCTTCTTTTTTTTTTGGCTATTAAATGAATTGAGTAGGCACACAAAATTAGCAAGGAGCATTAGACAAAGTTGTGTCTCCTCACAAGATTTATTCATTCTCTACAGCAAAGTTATTGTAAGGGTGCTGGAAACCCAGCCACGATTTATTATCAGTTGTCACAATAAGATATGCAGACGGCACTGTGTTGATGGCAAACACAGAATGAAAACTACAGGACCTCCTAGACAAGGTAGTAAAGAAAAGCAAAAGGAAAAAAGTGTGACAACATTCTCTACACATCATTCATTGCACAACTGTGATGACATCCAAAGTGGGTTGCATCTGCATATACCCCCTACTCGCTATGTCCACAGGTTTGTCCCTGATGGACTTTTTATGGTTACTGAACTGAAGATGTAATTCTGTTCCAATTTCTCCAAGAATATTCTTTTTTTTGCATTTATGGAAGAAGGAGCAAATATATAAGATTTGAACTGTCACAACTCAGAGTCCATTGTTTGAATACTACTTGGGTGCCAGGGAATGTGAAATTGCTTTTGTTTTAATTATATATATTATTAAGGCGTGTTGTTAAAGACTATGGAACTTTTCCATTTAATAATCTTTTGTCTATTTTTTTTCGCTTTATTATCTATAAAACTAAAATAATAAGCAACCAATTTCAAATCAAAACATACAGCCATGATGATGGTTAACAATAACTGAAAGTGCTCAACAAAACACCATGGACTAGGGTCTTATTTCCATAATTTGCATATACACCCCACTCGCTATATTCACAGGTTTGCCTCATTGGCCATGATTGAATTCAACAAAGAATAACAACAAATACTTTTCAAGACACTGGTTGTGAAATAGCAACAATACATATTCTCACTCAACCACCAATGTTTTCCTTTGGCTTTGATGGTCAGCTGCTATCTCCCTAACTTCCGCCCACCAAAAAAGGACCCTTACATATACTGATCTTCAAGGCAACTGCTGGTTTCTCCCTACTCATTGGTCCATTCCTGGAACACTAACATCCTACTCACTCCATTATGTACCCATAATTATTCATTCATATATACATCCATACATACATACAATTTTTTTTAATTATTTCATCACAAGCAAGGCAATAAAACCACTAAGATGAAAATGGGTTACCAAATGTGAAATAATATGAGAAAATAAAAAACTCTATTAAGGAGGGAGGACAAGAAAAGAATAGCAATTAAGAAGACAGAAGATAACCATTGACATTGCATTTAAATTTTTGGATACGTTGATTTGAAAACAAAAAGCTGGAAGAGAGTTCCATAAGCGAGAAGTGCAAGGGAAGAAACAGTTATCATAGAATTTACAGTTATATCTAGCCAGTTCAACTATAAAATGATGAGACCTAACTGCCAATCTAGTACTGTGCTTAAATTTGCAAAGACTAGTTACCAAAGAGGAAAGCTCATCACAAAAATTACCATGAAAATATTTAGAGAAAAGGCACAGGGAAGCTGTTACAACAATTGGAAAATATCAGTACCAATGATATAGATTCTTCTTTGGATTTTATCAAGAATCTCTAAATTCATGGCAGAAGAAACAATCAAGCACAAAAGAATATAAACTTCTAAGTGCCATAACTATTCAGGATGTTAGTGATCATGGCTCTCCATAATTTCCTGCCCTTTGTTGCTCTTAATAAATTTTATCTTTTTTACTGTCTCTACTAATCCCTGTTCAGCCATGTTTACAAAAGTTTGTTAGCTATGTTATATGCTGTTTTCCTTTGTCCCTCTTGTCAGATTTTCCAAGCCCTCTTTCCTCATTGCCCTAGAAATTTCAACTCTCTATTTCTGGTGTTGAGTATAAATGTTCTTTTTGTTTCCATTTTCTGTAAATCTTTGTTGTTGCTCAAATGATCAGTCCATGTTCTTCTCAGCATCCTTCTTTTGCTTCAAGTCTCTTCTTCATGCGTGAGGAGATTGTCCAGCATTGACTGACATATAGGAGGACTGATATCACATAATGTTTCAGTGCTCTTTTCTTTGTTACTAATGGAATTTTCCTGTTGCTTATTCTTTGCTTAGCTTTTGGAAGACATCTTTTACTATTCCAATGCACCTTTGGATTTCAGTGTCACACATTCCATCCTCTGTTAAAACACTTCACAGATATTTAAATAGTTGCACTTTTTTTAATTTGATTTCTAATTTACATGTTGGTATTTTCCTTTTGCTAACAACCATGCATTCTATCTTCTTGTAATTGATGTTTAGTCCTTTCTTCTCACTTTCCTTTACTACCTTTTATAGAATATTTTGTAAGTTTCTTTCTATGTCTGCTGTCAGTACTGTACCATCTGTATATCTTATGTTCTTAAGATTTTGGCTACCAATAATGGTGGACTTTTAATTCACTCACAATTACCACACTACACTACAGATTGAAATATTATGAAATATTTATTCCATAAAATAAAAAAATACAAATTTGGTTTGGGAAAAACACTACACCTTTTGTTAAGAATACAGTCCAAATCCAAATTATCTACATTTTATAACAAGGAAAATCCTGATCAGCTAGACATGGTCACTTCCCTGGCAAATTTACAGAGAAGCTGGTCTCTTTTAATAAACATTGGATTTTGAAGGTGCCTGCCAGCTGCTTCTGTTATTATGCATATCTACTACAGCCAATCATTGATTCTACAGTAGTGAGATTATTCCACAACAGAATGTTGTGGAATAACCTCACTACTGTAGAATCAATGATAGTAGTGAGATTATTCCACAACAGAATGTTGTGGAATAACCTCACTACTGTAGAATCAATGTGATACTCACTTTCACAGGAAGGTTACAAATTGACGCTCAGTTGGCAGACAGGGGTGAGCAAGCTGTAATTCAAAACAGTTCTGTACTCAAGCAAAGATAACGGTGAATGATAGATATTTATCTAAAACAATATCCACTCTAGAACCAGCAGCCAACCAGGACTCAGAGAATGGAATTGCCTAAGTGGCAGAACAGAACATTCCAGCTTACTACATATACTAGCTGTTCTAACCTCTGGGAACCAGAGAATTTGCAATATAGTTTACAATACAGCAGAGCACTAATCTCTTCATTCATTAACTGCATCAATATATATAGGTGTGTTTCAAATCATTTTTCGGCTATGGAAATGACCAATATACAAAATTGTGCTTCAAACTTTAACTCAAGAAACAAGGTTAGCACTCAATACAAAAAAAAAACATTTTTGCTAAAATTTTATTTTAAAAATTTATATACAACAGAAAAACAAACATTATGATTTATATGAAATTGGAAAAGGAACTTGAATTTATATAAATATATTCAAATTGCATTTGTTATCTGGCAGTAACAATAAATTGGTTTTGACTAAAAACTAACATTTAAAATTAAAATTTCTCCTGAGAATGTCGTCAATTTTTTTTCATTTGTATAACAAATTCATGTGGTAAGAGTCATTTTGAAGATTGAGGAATAATGACTGAGTGAGAAAAAGATTTTTAAAAAATGATGAAAAATAGAGAGATTGAAAGAGGAACAATCAATTATAAAAGAAATAAAAAGAATAACTGTCATGTTTATAAAAGTCAGAGCTTTTATGTCAATATATATGATAAAAATATAGTTTTAAGGTATGCTATCTTTATGTGTTAAAGTGATCAGCATCAATGATAGAATATATGTAAATATAAAAGTGGACATTGAGGTCAATACCCAGTGGTCACATTCTTAACTGGCCATGTACGTTGTCCTTTGGCTAGGCTGTTTATATATACTGGTCAATGGTGCATTATAGGTAGAAAGTCAATTGTATTATCCTGACATTTATTGGGTGGGCAGAAACGGTTATGTTTCAAATTATTCTAGTATTTATTGAGTAGAAATTATTGTGGATCTAAATGCAGTTATTTGTAGCTATTTTTTAATGTTGTGTGTTAACTTTTTTTACTCATTATTTATTATTGATACTTTTATTATTTGTTGTTGTTGATTATTATTATTACATTTACTTGTGTTTATGTTTGCATTCATAGTTTGTTAATGTTGTGGCCGGGTTAGGGCCAGAAATAAAGACACAAAGAGAGGAATTGAGTTAAACAAATATATTAACAGAAACAATAATAGAAACATATAAAAACAAGAGTGTTACAGCAAGAATGTTTGGTCCAACTTTCAGTGATGACTGCTGGAAACTTCCTCTCCAAAAGGCAGTACCTGCTCCTATTTATAGATGGGAGAGTCCTTGCATGTGTGGGTAAATTATCATAACAGTTAATGTGTTTATTGCTTACTTAGTTTGTTTACATATTTATTGATTTAGATTTTACTTATTTATATATTTTATTTTATTGATTTTTTAGTGTTTTGATTTTTAAGAAATGTAATAAAAATTGGTTTTGTGTTTGCATTTTAAGATGAGTTCTGATCATTTATTTACTAATTTTTGTTGGTCTGGGGAGGTAATTATAGCTATTTTCTCCTCCAGACAAAATTTACAGTTTTTTAATCTGTTGATGTAGATTGTTACTATTTCATATTATATTATGTGATTTGGTTTTTGTTTTTAATTTCTCATATATGTTCAGAAAGCATTATGCTTTTCATGTATTTACTATTTGTAAAGGATGTTTTGTGACTGTAGTTTCTCTGTTTCGAGGTCCCTTCAGTTACTTCTATGTATATTTTTTTTGTTGTTATCTACTGATTTTACAGTGGCTTGGTATATTACATTGTTTTGCATACAATTGCTATTTAAGAGACATTCATTCTTTGTTTTGTGAGTTTGATTTGTGTGGGTGGTTTGTTGATTGTTTTTCTGTTGTAATGGTAATCTTTATAAAATCAACAAAATGCAATACTTGCCAGCAGCATGAAGTAGGTAAACCACTGCTAG